ACAGAAAATGAAAAGAACAAAAAAAAGAAGAAAGAAAAACGAAGGAATGAAAAGAAAAAGCACAGTATTGGTGCGCATATGTCAACAATTTCACTTGTGGTCAAAAGAAATTCGAGAGACGGAGAGTGAAAGAGAGTTCATCAGCAGAAAGACGACCAGTTTAATCAATACAAGAAATAAGTGAGTGAAAAAAATCACAAAATCCACGCGTACACATACTTGTAGATCAGGATCAACTTACAGGTCATTCACAAGGACAGTACTCTTCCGACCGAATTGAATAAAATGTAACAGTCATCAAATTTGAATTCATCGTTCGTCAACAGGAAGCTACCTCACCTGATAAGAATCATTTATTTTTCTCTGGACATTCACTTCTATCCTGGACAATCTCATTGTCAATGAAGAGTCGAACTCAATCTTATCTGACTTCTCTATTTAGTCTTTCCTTGAGACGGGTATGTCTACGAATAAAAACCCTTACAGACCTTCGTACCATGACCTGTTATTGAAAATATACAAATTAATTAATACATTGAATTGATAAGATAATTTCAAGCATTTCTGCAGATGATAACATCGAAAAAAACATAATCAAACTCACGGTATACTCATCAAGAGCATCAGACAAGTCAATCTAGCGCTAATTTTAGGACAATTAGAAGATCGTAGCAAATGTTATTTTTCTTTTCATTCAATATTCGTCTGAGTTAACCGTGGAGAGCGACATTCATAGGCACGATGTGGTCACACTAGATTACTTATGACTAGTGAACACTTCATCGTGTACTTTTGCTCTCGAAAGAACAATCTAGGTACTTCAATTTTATGAAGATATTAACATTGAAAGTTGGATTAACAAGAAAGCAAATCATCGATGGACAATTTTTACGGGGAAAATGATGTGTAAATGGAAAGATTTTATCATGTACGTTGATAATATTTTCTTGTTATGATTGATGTTGATATACTATATGAATGAAGGAAAACTTTCTCACGATGATGTCGATCTCGAAACGATCTAATCTTAATTCTTTCTTTTAGCATTTGTTTGTCAATAGAGTAACTTTAAGTCAACATATACGAGATAAGATCGCAACTCAGTGCGTTAAATTCTTTCTTTAAATTCGGAATTTCTCTCATTTCAATCGCATTACCTAAAATATCTATCCGTCGAATAGGCGAAGCACCTATTCGCCATCGATCTTTATACTCTCTCAAAGCGTGATGAAGTCTTCGTATTGATTCACTTGATATTAGATTGAATGTCAAATTTAGGTTAATAATCGACCACCAGGATGTTTTCGAACTACGAGGATCATCCCTATCATCGTGTAGCAAGATTCGGCAAAACCATTGAATGAAATTATCATTGAGATTGTTGTAGGCTAAACTGAGTTCTATTAGATGTTTAGCATGCAGAATTAAAGAAGTGAATGCTTCGTGTATAGCACTAGATTGTTGATCATTGTTCCATGTTAAACCCACACGTTCAAAATGGAATATCGTTAAGACACAAGGAGTATTCAATGTAATAAATAATCGGGCAAGATTGATTGATCGAATACGAAAATTTCGAAGACGAATATCAGCGATATGGTGGAGAAATGTTTGACACCATTGAAATTGATCGAGAACAGAACATTCAAGGATAGACGAAAGTTCAAGACGATCAAGTTTTGACATGATATTCGGCAATAGTTTATACAATAAGCGTATATGAATATATTGCATATGACGTCTAAAGGAAAGATTTTCAATAGGCCAATCAATGAACGATTTTGTTAATCTTACTCTCGCCAGATGAATTGCTCTAATGAAGTATTCACATTGAATGTTGCTTGTTCAATGTCAGACAGGTGAATACTATGATTTATTGAAGTAAAACTTTTTATTGCTTCGAGTCGTAAACGTTTAAGATTGAGAATTGGGTTTTGAAAGAAATGAAAGAGAAAACCTACAGCACCGTGCGCTAAGGAAATACTTGTTAAGTGCAATGATTGTAATTGAGAGCGAGTACATAGAGTGATTAGAGTTGATTCCAATTGGGATGAATAAAGTGCAAAATTGATCAGAGTCAAATGTTGTAGTTGGCTCATACCTTTGAGAAGAGATATATTTTATACGAAGGATGCGATAGAAGATTTGGTTTACCTAGCAGAGTAATAGCGATCATATCGATAGTTTCGATTGATGAAACGTAATAGATAGAAAGATTTGTCAGAGAATTTGTTTGATTCTCAGGAGTTATATGAAATAGCAGATGTTTTTCTTCAACAGTTTTAGTTTCTCGTCGGGGTTGGATCGTTTTGGTTGGAGTTGTTGTAAGTGCCATCGCAGGACGTAGATGCAAATTACTATCACTAGAAGAAAATGGCTCTGTCAAAATATTCGTCGTTGTCGTTGGTATGTCGACGAGGATTGATTGCTCCGAAATGGATAGATGTCGAGCAGGTGTTAAAAGTTGTGGAAAGATCGAATGTCGTGGTGGTGTTTGCGAACGATTTAAATACGGACGAAGACGTTCGTATGGTTCGACAGTTAGTCTAAAGCAAAAGCATAAATATTTCATTCAATGTTTTCATCCACAAACCTTTCCGTGTTGATTGACCTGATAATAGGATTTAAATCAATTACTGGTGCATGACTTTGTGATGATCTGTTTGGTTGTGAACTCAGCTGTTCTGGTATGTCATTTCTAATTTGTAATATCGATGAGTGTACATGAATGGCGGTATTCGGTGGACTCGGTAAGAGATCAATAGAATCGCGTAGACTATTCATAGAGTTCGATACAATTGCCCGTATGGTATCGATCGAATGTTGGTCATCGTCTTCAAAATATGAATCGTGAGTTGACAAGATTCTTTTGAGATTGCTCGAGACGTCAATAGAATGAATTTGTACTTCTAGACAAGCTTTCTTATTGCGACGTGGTAAAAAGTAACTCTGGGTAAAAGTATTCGATGGTTTCATATCCGCCTCTTTCCCTGTCGATAGATACGATAGTGAATACGAACGAGGATAGATGAACAAAGGTAATAGAATGTTCATTAAACAGTAGGATGGAAATTTAAGCACAATATTTGTGACGTGACCACGTGTAAGAACATCTAAAATGAATTTCATACCATGAATATCATTTTCCGTAGGATAACCGCTGAGAACAATATCAGTGACATTCTCAGTAAAACATTCAATTAGATGTGGATCGATTTTAGCTAAATTCCAAACATTTGGTACAAGGATAAAACTAAAACAACAGATGAGACGTGTAGAGAATGATTAGAATCATTGGACAAGTTTACCGTTTGATATATTTATTCCATTGATGCTTCCAAATGATGAGCAAATTTTCGTTTTCATTTTCTAACCTTCGTTTCGAACAATAGACGATTGAATCTCTCGTTAAATTGTACTTAATTTGCTCGACAAAGGAGAGATTTATAATCGATTTTGATTGATTCAAAGATGAGAGATGTGCATAGATTCCTAATTGTAAAATTTGTGTATCATGAAAGAGATACTCGAAATAGAGACGTTTATATGGGATAATAGACAACGAATCGTACGAATCTTTATCATCTCGAGACAAAGACCAGATCAATTCAAAATGGCGACGCCAAAGATCATTTATCGGAATGTGTCGTTGAGCGTAAATTACATCTAGGCGTTCGAGTTCAGCAGGAGACAAGTATGGAAGTAAATCACGTAAACAAGTATTCGGTAATTGATTGAAATTTATGAAATTTAAAGAGGAATTTTTCAATACACTCGTCAAACATATCTCGTAGAGTGTCGAGACTAACATGATTAAACATACATTAAATCCTTTTTCGTATTTAGTCGACGTAACACAGAGAGGAGAGAAAAAACGAACCACACTACAAAAAAATAATAATAATAGTTTGTTCAAGGCGCTTTTTTCCTTTTGAGATCTGTTCTTTTCTCATATAATATCAAAATAATTTCCATATGAGACCGATTGAAATCGATCTATACATATTTCTACCCATTCGAAGTATTTATCTCATCTATATCATTTTCCATCAGCCGTATTCGTCGAGATGGTTAATGGTTTCATGCTGATGTTTCTAAGTATAGATAGGATCATCATAGGCATGTATACGACAACAACAACGACAGCTATTGGATGTCCCAAGGAAAACATCCGTTTGTCGCGTCTTTTGTATATGCGGAAACGAACGTCATATATGTACACAAGCGGTTTGATGTCTTAGAACATAACCGATAGTAGGCATACTAAATAAGTCCCCAGCGAAAATAATGGTGAGGAAACAGAATAGCCTTGTCCAATCATCAGTAGAGAAAAGAATAAGAATAGTACAGTTACGAGAGAGAGGGAGGGAGAAGGGAGAGATATCGATTGTACTTTCATATATATATAAAGAAGGACATAAAAGTCGTACGTCGTGCTAATCGTGATTATTATTTTTCTTTATTGTCGTACATCTATTCTCTCCTTCTTCTTGATTCATTTTTAAAAGACGACAAACAGACAAAAGGTGAGTCAATGTCATCGGATGAAAAAGATCAAGACATGTAAAAAGCTACTTTTCATTTTCATTTGCTAGACTACAAATGGGTAGAGCATTGGATTATGGATATTTATCAACGGCGACGGGAATTTTAAACATAGCTGAAATCGTAGGTGGACTTCTCGCATGATTTGCTTCATTGAATCTAACCTTTTCGAAGAAAGCATTCAATTGCCTATGATTTCGCTGTCATTTCCTGCTAGGCAAAGAAATACCAATAACAAATAGGTGTTTTTGTCGGTCTGATGTAATCTTGATATGCCGACGGTTTTATGTAAACAAACAATCAATAGAGAGAGAGAGAGAAAAATCTTAGATACTTAACGGTTGATGAAGTAGATTATTCAACCAATTAGTCGTAAAATAACAACATATGTCTATCCTAGACAATGATTGAACATGACGAATACCTTCGAGAAAGATTCTAATGAATTAAACATCTAAACATTGATATTTAATTACTTATCATTATTGTTCTCCATCGTTTACAAATTCTTGGTCATATCGACGATACATTCATGTACCGAACTCTTCTTTTTCTTCTAGGTTTCATTAATTGCGGCTCTCATTAGTGTTGCATTTACGTCTCGATTATATTGTGAATTAGCCGATAATTTACAATCAGTCTACCCTGACTTAAGCACAGTAGCGGTCCGAGCTGTATTTCAAGCATTTGGTGTTCTTTGCTTAACGATCACCGTCATCATTTTGCTTGCCCATCTCTATGGCATACGTTACTTAGGAAAAAATTTCGTTTATTTGAATCAAGCTGTTAGTAGAAAACACTACTCGATGTTTATCGAAGATAACGAGAGAAAGAATTGTTTTCTTCATTTAGTGTATAGTCGCTAATGTTATTATGGGATTGATGATGATATCAATTGGAATATGTGCTATACTATGGGAAGATAAACTACGCCGAACACCAGGAATCGTTAAACGTGGTTATCTGTCGTATGAATCTCAAAATATTTTCAACGAGCAAACCTATCCAAGTCCAGGAGCAGCTGCAGCTGCCGCTGTAAGTCAAGCAACATCTATTTCGAAGTTTTTTTCTTGTATATTTTTCTTTGCAGACATTTGCATTGATTGCTGGTGTACTTTTTATTATTGAAGCTTGTACCCGACCGATGTTAGGCGCAGGTGCATCACGTTTACCACCATATACATCAGATCGACCGAGTTATACTGTATCAACAAGTAATCAACGCTCGTTTATCAACGATAGTTCACCTGGTGAACGCATAATTCCGATTGAAACAACGATTTTGCCGTACCGAGTTTAGAAACAAATATTTCTCCTGCTGTGTGTTTCGTCTTGACATTTTGATCTTCGTGTAGTTTTGCTTCTTTTCTTTTCTGACGCGCTTTTTTATTAACAAAAGCTAGAGAAAACTTTCATTTTGACATCACTTTCGATGGTTCGGTGTGCTAAAACGAAACAAATCGAGCGAAAGAAATTATCGGAACCACATACGAATTCAGCTGATCAATCTTCATCGAAAATTCTTCATGTAGTTCGTCAAGCTTTACTCAACGCTGCTGCAGAACTTGTTGCTCAACAGAAAAGTTCAGCAGAGAATCCACAGACATCAAATTTGAATACGAATGAAAATGCGGCACAAAAAAAGACGAAGAAAACAAGAGTAGCTCGAAAAACGACTCGACGAAAATAGTTCACTGACATTCTCACTCGAATCATTGATTTTATTGATGAATAAAAAAAAATATTCCAAAAAGAAATGAATGTCAATCAATGTCAGTCATTATCAGATGATCTATCTTGCATTTTGAGGAAGTATCGCAGGATTCGGAGGTAAAATATGTCCACCTTTACGCGAGAGAATACTAATTTCAGCTTTCAATGCTTCAATTTCTTGTGCTTGTAATTGAACAAGCGTACATAGACGATCAAACTCTTCGGCATTTTGTTTCGATTGACCAGAGAATTCATCCGCCTAAAATTATCGTTGTCAGACAACCCAGAATCGATTAGACACAAAAGAAAACTTACAGATTTGGATTTACGTTTTATTAGTTGTTCATCGAGTTGACGTTTATCATCGACAAGTTCAGTTAACTCATCAAGACGTTTTGTATTGGTTTTCAATAAATCAATCGTATCTTCGTTTTCCTCGATTTTACGCAGCTAGAAAAATAGATTATGACATTCCATGGAAGCACTAGTAGAAGACCTAACTAAATATCTTTTACAAGGTCATCATAGGATGACTTTGACAAAAATAGAGTATGTTATCCTTGGTTTAATAATTGATCAATGAAAATACTCGGTCTAGCTGAAGATAACAGAAAAATGCCTGAAAGTCTTTTCATGATTGATCATTTTATTTCTGTTGATAATGATTCTTATCCTCACGAAACGTGTATTCTCTTTAGAGCGCTAAGATTTAGAACTACTCTCAAGTGACATTTCACTGAAATGTAGACATGACTGTTAGTTAGTTGTTTTAACTTCATATTTCTGTGGAGGATATGTCAACAATGGATTTGAGAAAGCAGAACACTCGGATAGATAAGATAGAAAAGGAAATTTTTGTTTTGATAAGCCCAACTGTCGTGTTCTATCGAAGGTTGCTTTAATAGATGCAAGCACTCGTCTTTTCTACAATTAATAACATTGTTGATGGTTTGTACTGAATTCCTGCGAGCAAATCTCGTCCGATGTCAAACATATGTTAAGGATATGGAGACGACAATGATATAAAACGAAGATCAATCAATTCCGTACCTCATATTGGCCCATTGTATTGTAATATTCATCTCCGGCATCATCAAGTCTTTGTTTGAGTTCTTCGATTTGTAAGTTAACAATTGCGCCTTCGATTCTTTCTAATTCAACTAGTTTGCCGAATTTTTCAACCATTAATTTATTACATTCATCGGTTAAACGTTTGATGATTTGATCGGCATTCTTCAATTCGTGTGCTAAATCTTTTCGTGCTTGTTTCTTGTTGCTAAAGATGAATATTCTTCGGAAAAGTTCTCGGTTTGTGATCGTGCTTACACATATCGATCTTTTTCTCCTTTGATTTCGGTTATCACGTCGACAATACGGCTTTGTAAACCTGCTTTACTCTTCTTGTTAAATATCAAACAATCCGATAGGTCATCTGGCAAATGAGTCGACCGATCATAACGAATTTGATGACAGCGAAGACCAACGGCAACCTTGATATCGTTGATCTTTTGTTGTTTTTTTCTCTAGAAATGAGAAAATATGAGGAGAAATGATCAGAATTTCGATTTTACTTGAAAATCAAGAAGATCGTTCTGTTTGGTTTTCAATTCAGCATCGATCTTGTTTAAATAAATTTGTGTTTGGCCAAACGTTTGTTGTAATGATTGAAGAGCAGTCTTCTCATCTGCTATTATCTCTTCTACAAATCATCGAAGCATAAATTCTTGTTTGAAGAAACAGACAAAAGAAAATATTTACCAAGGTCAAGTCGTTTTTCTCGTAAAGCGACCACTTCATCGTACAATTTTTGATCAAGATTAGGTGGACAGATATCCACATCAAGTTGTCGAGTTGGATCTTCATTTGCTAGATCTTCATCATCATCATCTTCTAATTCCCAATCATCATCATCATCAAGATCTTGAGACATATCATCGGCATCTAAGAAGCGAAATAAATTTCGATAAAGGCGTCCGAGAGATATTTGTTTGTATACCATCTTCTTCGCCTTCGACACGCTTCTTTCGTTTGATCTTTTTATTCAAAACTCGTAGAAGATAATTATAGAATTTATGCTCTTTTGGTATCATCTCATCGAACGTTCCATATAGTTGTTTCATTCGATCATCCAGCATATCGTTATCTTTTTTCTTAGCGTCAACTTTCGCTTGAAATTCTTGCATCTACACACAAACAAACAGTTTAAATTCAGAGAGAAGCTTTCGTATACTTTGGCTTGTTCGACATCAAATCGTTTTTGTGCTTCGGTCACTTTGTTCTCCAGCTCATTTTCTGTTCGTTCAAATTCTTTTGTTAACATCAGCTCTTCGTAGAATGTGATACAACTATTTACAACAATGAAATCAAAGGGATGAAATGAAAGACGGGAAATAACATACCGGAGATCAGTTTCTTTTGCTCGTAACATTTTGATGATCTTCAAATAATACAACAGCGAAACGTCTTTGTCGAAAATACGCATTTTCTCATGGATGTTCTTCAGAATTTGATCACGTTCGAAATATATTCTAAATGCATGTTCATCGTTTAACTTTCAAAAGATTTCTCGGATAATCTTCTCTAACCGATGCGTAAATGAACTGGAATCTTTTACTTCATGTAAAACTTCGACTGGCGTATGATCAGAGAATATCTTATTGGGAAGATATTCTGGTAATTTTTCTTTCAAATTAACCGACCAATGTAGGTCAAGTGGACGTTTTAAAGACGATGGTTTTGACGTTGAAGTTGAAGATTCATCGTCAGGTCGTGTTAAATCACCATTGCGATGATCATGTTCGTCGCGGAATGCTTGAATTTCTTCACGAGTGAATTCGAAACGACTAGAATGAACATGAAATGTAAACAATCTTTATTCCGTATGTTTCTCTACTTTGCTTGACCATTCTCGTTCAACGGTAGAAGAGGAATGTTGAATAATTCACTATGCTCTGTTTGACTTTTACCAAGAGTATTTAAATATTGAAGATCAGCATTGATTTCTAGGGTGAGAGTACGTTTACGTTCGATTAGATCCAAAATACGTTTGTTAAATTCCATTTTGTACGTATACGTCTGAAGAAACAAACAATCATTAACTCTGACTACAAGTAAAGTTGGAATAGTGTTCTACTTACTGCAAGTCTAATATTAGTAATTCGTTCAACAGCCCGAAGAACTGTTAATCGTTGATCAGTTGGTACAACATAATCTGGTGCTGTTTTCAGAAAATAATTGCCCATATTCTCTCGTGCAAAACGAATGCTTTCAACTTCAGTTGGATCATCATAGCCTTCCGGTTTTTTCTTACTATAGAGTGCTGCCCACTAAACAAGATTCACTCGACTGGGAGAATTCGGAATGCATCTCTACATACCTCTTCTTTACGCTTCTGTCTTCGACGAGCTCGTTCTTCCATTTTACGTAACAGCCGCTCAACACGCATTGCTTTCGCGCCTTTTAGTTTTGTTGCAGATACTTTCGAATCCGCTGTTTGGGCTCCACGATAGTCGCCGCCTCGATCATCTGCACAAAAAAGTATATAATGAATGATGGTATACAAGAAAAATGTTACCAGAAAAGTCAATCGTTTCCTTTCGTTTTGTTTTTCCAAGTAACGCAGCTTTTTGTCGTTCAATTTCTTCCTGCATGGCTTTGAAATCACTTGGTAATTCTAAACAAATTCATGCATAATATTACTACATGATAGAAGGACTTCAGCATACCGATTGTACGAAATGTACTGACTTCCCATTTACTGTCGAAGCTTTTCACAGAAATAACTTCTTGTGCAACAGGATCAACGAACCTAACATGAAAACAATTGTTTTACTTAATCAAAAGTCAAAGAAGAAGCATATATACCATTGTTCTAGCTTTCTCAGTGCAATTGAGCAGCGTTCAGATTCCCAGGCTAATTCTTTAATCGAAGTATTTTCTCTCTCTTGAAGTTCAGCTTCGAAGTTTTGGCGAATGTTTTCATCAAGTATGAAATTCTAAATAAAATGAAACAATTATCGATGATGTTTCTCCTTCAGATGGAGAATATTTACTTGACGAGGAATTTTTAGATCAGCAGGTAATTGGTCATTGATATTTAGTAATCTTCGAAATTTTCCTCGAAGAGCTTCGATTTGTTGTCTCATTTCTTTCTTCAAACCTTCAGCTGAATCTTTCATTTTAGTTTCTTCCGCTTTTTGTTTCTCTTCCTCGATTGAATAGTGCTTATCTTCAGTTATATCCACTGCTTCAACTTCACCCTAAACCAATCAAAGATACTCTTATATTATAACTTCCATCAAAATATTTACCGTAAATGCTGGCATTTTCGGTACTTCCGAATGTCCATGAACAATATCAGTATCACCTTTGATAACATAACCAAAGATATTACCGTCAGCACCACCAGAGAGTGCAAATCGATCATCATAGGAAATAGCTAAATGAGTGACAATTCCGTATTCACTATCATGTGCACCTCGTGTCCAATATTGTTCTAGAGATTGAAAAATTTGTTTTCCACCATATGGATAAACACGTATGAAGCCATTTTTCAAACCGACGAATATCAAATTGAGTTTTTCTCTA